CTGAGTTGCTTAGGGCCTCACTGTTGCTGAGGCTGGCTTTGAACTCGTGATCCTCCTGCCTCAGCCTCCCTCAGTGACCATGAGCAGCTGCGTTCTTGTATCTTGATTTTTTTATCTTGGTATTGTTGGAATCTAGATCTTTCTTTCCTCTGTTTGTCTATCTGTCTGTCTCTCTCTACCCTCCTTGGTGCTGGGGATAGAACCCAGGAGTTGGTACATGCTAGGCAAACAGTACCACTGACCTACATCCCCAAGCCCAGAATCTAGATGTCTATTCTGCATTCTGAAGTCTGGATACGGTTTCTGAATTCCGAGTCTGGGTTCTCACTGTTGGACTCTGGCCTTCCAGCCTAGGCCTGTCTTCCCCCAGAACTGTGCAACTGGGCAGCCCGTCATCTCCCTAAGGATGAGTGCAGAGACTACATGTAGCCACCAGGGGCCGCCCTTGGTCCAGATTTGTGACTGGCAGCCCTAGCCCCAGTCGAGTTAGGGAACTTCGCTGGCCTGGCTTGACCCATTCCTTTGAGATTGGGTTGTGCTTCAGCCTTCCTAGTCTCCACTGGGGACTGGCCTCTGTCAGCTCTGCCTGGCTCAAATGTGGAGAACTGAACTCAGCATTTCCAAAGTTCCCCCAAATTGTCCCCAGGATAGGTCACCCACCCAAGTAGTGGGTCAGGTGTGCAGTGGAAGGTCCATGCATGAGTGTGTCAGTGAGTGTCCAGGTTAAGGTGAGGGTGGAGTGTATGTCTGGGTGCCCAATGGTCCAGAGAGCCTGTGTAATGGTGTATGGCTAAGTCTGACAGAGACCACATGTGTGACAAAGTCCTCATGTGACAGAGCCACAGTGAGGTGTCACTCTGGTGTGGGGAGCCTATGTCTTTGTCATATGAATGTGTCTGTGTCCTTGACTGTGTTATGCGTCATCTGAATGGATCCATATTGTGACTGTGACCACACGTATGAAGCACCACTGTGTTTCCCATGAGGCTGTGAGTCCCTGGGTGAAGGCGCCCTGGAGTGTCAGGAGCAGTGTCCCCGGTAGCTGTGTCACTGTGGATGATGCCTGGGTAGTGGGACACAGGTGTGTGTTCTGAGAGGGTTGACCCAGAGCCCGCAGAGAGGACTGGATGGGTGGGACCGGAGCCCTCCACCTCTCCACCTCTCAGTGCCTGTGACAGTCCTTGTCTGGGGTCCCGTCGTCTGCCTTGCTCAGCACTGGGCACAGTGGGCTCAGGGGTCTTGGAGAAGGGTCTTGTCCCCATGGTTTCCCAGCCCCACCTCTTCTGTCTGTCTGGGGCTCTCCTCCTCTCCCCTCCCATCTCTGCTTCTTCCTGGTCTGCCACCTCTGTCCCTCTTCACTTTCCCCTCCCAAGTCCTGCTTGTCCCTCTCCATCCCCGATGGTCCTCGCGGTCCCAACCCTAACAGTTCCTTGGGTTTCCATTTCTCCCACCTTTCCTCTCTCTCCACCTCATCTCGTCCTTTACCTCTGTCTCTCCAAGTCTCTCTCTCACCTCTGATGTCCCCCTGCCTCTGCCGCCCCGGGTGGGTCCGGGTGGGTCCGGGACAGCCCGGCCCGGGCGCCGCGGTGAACAATGCCCCATTCACGCGGCCTGCCGGCGCCATGGCAACGCGCCCGCCCCGCCCTCCCCGCGCGTGCCAAGAGGATGCCATGGTTACGTCAGGCGCGTGCCCGCCGCCGCCCCACATGCCCTTGCAGGGGCCGGGCCAGCAGGGGGCGCCCGACCGCAGCTTCTGCCCAGTGTCAGGAGGGGCCTTCGCGAAGCCGGCAAAGGCTCCTGCCTCAGTTTCCCCAACTGTAAAACCTCAGGGGTGGGCAGAGTGAAAGCAGTGTGTATGCGTGTGTGTGTGTGTGAGAGAGGAGAGAGTGGGGGGAGAGGTACTCACACTCTCTGAGGGCAGCTGTGTATTGGAATTGTGTATTGGTGCAAATTTGTGTGTCCACGATTACAAGCTTGTGGGCGTTGTATGAGAAGCAGTTGAGGAGCTGGTTGTAGCTTGGGAGTGACCGTGCCCGTGTGTCTGGGATTGTGTTTGTGTGTATGTGTGTGTGTGTGTGTGTGTGTGTGTGTGTATGCTTGTGTGCCTATGTATGACGACATGTGTCTGTATAATCTGGGTGCAATGGTGTATATTTTGGGGTCTGTGGTCTTGTGACAGAGTGTTTGCATACCCCCATGTCTGCATATCTGGTGTGTGTGTGAGTGTGGGTGTGTGGTTTGGGTGTGGTTGTGAGTTCACATGATTGTGTGCATGCCTATGTTTGCATGCTTGGTATATATGCTAAATGGCGATGTATCGATGATGTGATTGTGAGTTTGTGTGAATGTTGTTTGTGTGTCTGGGGGTAGGTGTTCACAAACATGTGTGCTTATGTGTATGGATTTCAAGGACTGTGGGGCCTGGCTGAGCCCCCCCTCACCTGAGGGCCTCCTGGCACAGAAGGGGGTGCCCAGCTGCCGGGGACCTCCGACTCCCTGCAGGTTCGGGAGAGCCCCAGCTGATGAATATTCATGAGGTGGGGGGGCTGGCACCCACTGCCAACAGCTGCGCTTCCATTAGCCCCCTCCCTGCTCTGCTTGCACCAACTGTAGAGGGGAGAGGGGGTTGCCAGTACGTCTGTTCCTATCTTCAAGACTCAGGGACCAGGGGGTGTCCTAGGGACAATCTTGGGGGCTGTGT